TTCAGCCCGCCACCGATCAGCGATGTTGTGTCTCCCAGTTAGCCCCAGGTTTCACAGCAGCACCCGGGCTCCTTCTTGTAACCCTTGCTCACGCACTCGAGCATCATAACGCTGCTTATGGCGTTGCTGGTTTCTTCCAGCAGGTTCGGCTGCCAGTCGGTACGCACGACGGAGACGGTCCTGAAGCTGGTATGCATATTGACCATGAGTCATATGTTGTTGGTAGACTCGTTCTGCCCCAAAGCACAAATCTATGGGTAACCGGGGCTCCCTCCCGAACACGAGTAAATACAGACTGACCCCCGTTGCATCATTTCTAGTGGAGTTGTAGGCATGCACCAGGTATGCAATATGCTGGCTCCATGTGGCCTTCTGTTCCTGCTGGAGGGTACCCAGCATGTTCAAGAGAGTGGATTGAAGTGCTCGGGTTGGGGATGGTAGGGTATAGTCCTTGATTTCTGTATGCCAGCCACTGTCAGTACTTCACGCAACAACGGGCTCTCAAAATCTCGCCCTTGATCAGAGTGGATTCTTGTGGGCAGCCCAAACACGGAGAAGTACTTTTCTCCACAGTACTTTGGCAACTGTTCTTGCTGTTTGATCTTGCGTAGGGAAGGCCTGGGCACATCAGGTGAAGTGGTCTGTCACAACCAGCACATTCCCCTTTCGGTGCCCCTCCCCTTCTATGGCTAGGAAATCCATGCACACAAGCTCCATGGGTTTTCAGCTCTGGATGGTGTGTAGATAGGCAGTTTGAGCGGCAGGGTCTTCCTCTGTACACACCAATCACAGTTTGAGCATTTAGTCCTTACATCTTCAGCCATTTTGGGCCAAAAGAATCGCTCACGGGCTAGCGCCAGGGTGCGCTGCACCCTAATGTCCCCAAAGTCATCATGCAAGGCCCGTAACGCAAGGGCCTTATACTTCCGAGGGAGGACCAGCTGCCAAAACTCCCGTCCTTCTGGGTCCTGCACCTCCCGATGTAGCACTCCATCAAACAAGCGAAGCCTTTCCCACTCCCTCAACAGGAGGTGGGCTGCTGGGGTAGCATTATTAAGGATCACGGGGCGGGTATTCCCTGATCTCCGGGCACGCAGCACCTCTCACACATCTGGTCACTTATAGGCTACCTGGTCACTGGAGGAACAGGTCACCTCCCACAAAATCTGCTGGAAAACGCCCACCCATTCCGGGGTAGCTTCAGTACCAGCAGTTTGCCCCACTCCCCCATGCACAGTCCTATAACTCCCGGAAGGTACAGCAGACTGGTCAGCATTGGACATGTCTCCTGGTGGTACTCTCTCTCTCTACAGGGGTACACAGCACTTGAATAATGTTCTAGCACCCGCTATGTGGGAATCCCAGACAAGCCCCCCAAAATGTAACCCGGGCGGTACTCCAAGAGGTACCCCCTCTCCAATTGAAGGGATCAAAGCAAGTGCTCAAGCGCTATGGGAGATGTAGGGACTCTCCTCCCTGATAGAGCAGAGCCAGACCACCAGTGGGGACTTAACCATGTACCTTCTAATACTGGGAACATAACAGGCATAAATCAGAGGGTATAGTGGACACTACAATGTCCCAAGGGGCAGGATTCAACAGAGGTTAGACACTTACAATCACTGACAAAAAACAGGGTTAACAAAATATAAGACACAAACAGCAGAACAAACAATACAGGTTGGTGAAGTATAAAAAGGCACAAAATGCAAAATGACAAGGAAATATAGGGCCTTGGTACCTGGAGGGGGAGGAAGAAGGGAAAACACAATGGTCCCTTTCCACTGCAAGAAGATTTGCTTCTTGTTATTTCACTCACCCCAAGTCACCTCAGTTGGGACTTGAGCCCAAAACTCCCACATGGTAGGCAGGAATGCTGCCACAGCCACCACTGGGGGCACTGCTCCAGCCTATGAGGGGTCTCAACATGCATGGAGCCCCGGCCTCATGTCAAGCTGCCTGGCTTCTGATTGGAGGAGCTGAAAGCAAAGCTAGGAGGTCACTGCTCAGATCCTTCCTGGCGCTGGGGGGAGCCTCTCCTGCTGGCTGCAGCCTCTCCCAGGGGAACCTGGAGCCCAGTGGGGGCCTCTCCTGCCAGCCGTGCTGCTGAGGGTCCCACTGCTGCCTGCAGGTCCTGCTCTTTCAGGGGCTCTGCTCCTGCCTCAGCTCTTGCCAGCTCTGTAAAGCTCCTTCCTTCTGGTCCCTCACTAGTCTCTCCTGAGTCAGCCCATGCTGCCCCTTTTATGCCCCTCCAGGTGACCCAAGGAGCCAATCAGGGGACACGGGGGGGAAGGGGGGCCTGATTGGTGCGGAAAGGGAATTCCAAGTCCTCCAATCATCTTTTACCCCTTCAAAACCCCTGGGCCAAATCATTACCAGATTGGTGTGGAAAGGGAAATCCCAAGTCCTCCAATCATCTTTTGCCCTTCCAAAACCCCTGAGCCAGGTCACTGCCAGCCAGCCCGTCACACTAGACTTGCAATGCTGCTGGCACCAGGTGCTGAACACTTTCAGAAACAAATCGAGGGATGTCTCACAAACAAAAGCACCCAAACCTCTTCCCTTCTGCCCCAATTCCCATAGCCCCAGCTTATAGTTACATGTCTACTGGACACATCCCTCTCAGACAGGAGAGAATAGGTGTCAGAAGCCTGCACAGAAAGCTGGTTAAATAACCCCCAGCTGGGCCTGATTACTTGTGGCTTAATTACCCCCAGCTGGCCCTAGGTGCCTGCACGGATGGGGCTGCCTGCTTTCGGTGCCCAGCAGGCTACTAGATATCTACTTTGGGTAGCCTGGAAGATGCAAGTCTACCCCATTTTCTCTTGGTTTCTGCCACTGACCCCTTGTTCCAGGCTGCAGCCTTGACCCCTTCTGCTCCAGATGGTCTTGCCAGACCCCTGGTCCCTCTGCTCTACACGGCAGCCCAGACCCTGTCCTCTGATGGCCGGCTCTTGGCTTGCAGCTTTGTTTAAGGATCACCCACATCCCAGTCCCTTACAGCTAGAGCTGCCTGCTCCATGCCCCTGCCTAGCGAGTTCAGTCTGGGTCTCTTCTTGATCTCCATCCATGCACCCACTCCCGGCTCCTGGGTCTAGCCAAGGTGGTTGCTGATCTCCAAGTCCCTTACAGACCTTTTCCTCCAAACCTGCCTGCTTCCGGTGCTCTGACCCTAGTCTGGACACTTGCTTCCTTGTGACCCAGGGGACCTGGGCTGATTTAGTCTGGAGAAGAGAGGACCGAGGGGGATTGAATAGCAGCCTTCACCTCCCTGCAGGGGGGCTGCAAAGAGGATGGAGCTGGGCTGTTCTCAGTGGAGGCAGATGACAGGACAAGGAAAGATGGGCTCAGGCTGCAGCAAGGGAAGTTTGAGGTTGGATATTAGGAAAAACTTGCTCACTAGGAGGGTGGTGAAGCACTGCACAGGCTACCCAGGGTGGTGGTGGGATCTCCACTCTTGGAGGTTTTGAAGACCCGGCTGGACAAAGCCTTTTCTGGGATGATGTAGTTGGGGCTGGTCCTGCTTGGAGCAGAGGGTTGAACTAGATGTGACCTCCTGAGGTCCCTTCCAGCCCTCGTTTTCTATGAATCTATGACCCTGTAGGGTCAGGGCCCAACTGCCCATGTCCCGGTTGTGCCCTGGACAGCAAGTGGAAAATAACTTAGTCCCTAGGTGCAAGTAAAGTTAGCCCCAGGGCAGCATACTCTGTGCTGTGGATTAGCTCCTTTAGCACCAGGCTCTGCTGGCATCTCTTGTGTGCTAACAATTTTGGAGGGCAGGGTGCCCAGAGCCTCCCAGGAGGGTGCACACCACCTTGCAAGATCGAGCGTTTAGTGGGTCCTTTCAAAACCACCTTTCCAGGCAGATCATTAGTGTTACTCTTCTTTTAATTAATCAATAGCTTTATGGTAACGAGGTGCCTGGAAATGAATGCTCTAGTTCCACCATAGTCTCAGGTAAGCTGGCCAGGAGGGGATCAGTTGTCTTGCTGGTCCTTTACATGCTCCATCCACAGATGTAGCTTCAACTTCCTGTGGATTTTGTCTTGTTTTTATGAACTCTGTCGTGTGCTAGCACCGCGGTCAGAGTGAAGCGAGCAGCCTGGGCCCCGCTGGCTTAGCAACTTCTCAGGTGGCACCAGAGAACTTCATTAACAAGCTTTTTACTCCTGCTGCCAGTTCATGAATGCAGCCCCCTCTCTAATCTGACCAGACTCCAGCCCCTTCCACGCTGTCCTGCCGTGCCACTTATGCCCTTAGGCCCCTCTGTGTGTGTGATAGGATTAGCATGCATGATCCACACATCCAGCTTCGGATCCTATCCCGCCTTATTGCCAGGACACGGTCCCAGGCTCCCCCTGCACCTGCAAATAGCAAGCTCCGGCAACCACTTATTGCACATTTCCCAGCTCTCACTTTACTGCTGGATGGACCTTTTTATGGCATGATAGTTAATTTGCATATGTAGGAGACCTGAATTAATTGCACAGTTAGCAGGTCAATTGTGTAAGGTGTGTAATGCATAGGGGGGACTGAAAAATAGTGGTGGGACACTTTGAACTAAAGCTTGTTCAATGTGCTTTAGTTCAAAGCTCCCCACTGCCATTTTTCAGTGCAAGGGATGCTGATACACTTTTAATTAGCATGGCCCACTAATTAAAGCACCCCCCCACGCTTCCCAGACCATGTGCAAAAATGCCCTTAGTGATGCTTTAATGCACATGAACCTAGTTTAATGTGCATTAACCAAAGAGCACAGGGGTTTTTAGCGATGCTTTAATGCACATTAAAATAGACTAATGCGCATTAAAGTGCATGTGTAGATGAAATCCAGCAGCACACCCTGCCCTGCCATGGTGACCCTACACAGCTCCCTGCCCCCAGATGGAAGCGGGCCCATGGACAGCAGCGTGCCCCGTGCTGGTTCCCAGTCCGTGCCTGCAGAGCCTGGCTGGTGTTTCTGCCTCTAGATGTCACTCTCCACTGCCTTTTCTTCCTCTCGTCCTATTTTTCTTTCTCCAAGATCCTGCAATTTTTTTTTTTTTTAAATTCCTTTCTGATCTCTTTCCGGCCATGTGTGATTGCAGTTTCCTCTGGGCGTCCATTTCAGCAGCCTGAAATTAAGCAGCAGACAGAGGGAGAGAGAAGAGGGGGGATCGCCCCCCGCTCATCCTGCTCCCCCAACAGAAGCAGAAGGAGCCGCTCTCAGGAATTCCCAGCAAGGCTCTTGGCGCAGGAAAGGGAAGCCGCCAGCGCCAGGCTGCCTATTTGGAGTACAGAGAGCCCCACATTCCCCTTCTGGGGGTCTCCCCAGCCCTGAATCTGCAAGACAAGCTGGCAGAGATGCCCTGTCCTCCCTGCACACCAGCTCCCACCTCCCACACCTATTTTGGCTGAAGGGAAGTCCTCCGGATCTGGCTGGGAAGCTTATGCACCATCTGAAGTGCTTTCCTCCTCCTCTTGCACAGCTGCCAAGCTTGGCCAAGTCCTGCCAGGGGGGCTTTTCTCCACCCCAGCACCAGCAGCTGCACCTCCCGGGGGTGACAGGACTGCAGCAATGTCAGTCTCCCTGCACCGGCGCTGGATAGATGGTTTTTCTGTCGCTCTGATTTGAAAAGCAGCCACCAAACCTACCTGTCTGCCTGCCCCTGTCACTGCTGCGGCTGTGTGATAGCGGGGAAGGCTCAGCGTGCTGACTGCTATCCTCTTCCTGAGCTGGAGACAAGAGAGAGAGGTTGCAGGGTCCATCAGTCCCACCCCTTCCTCTCTCCCTTCCCCTTCCAGAGAAGAGTCCTGGCTCTTTGCAGCATCTGTGGTGCATCGGAGAGCAAGCCAGCCCCAGGAGCTGCAGCAAAGGAAGCCCTTGCTTCAGGTGATTCAGGGGAGAGGAGCTGAGAAGAACAAGGTGCATTGGGTCTCCCGAGCTCTTGTCTTCGGTGCGTGACACGGATCTGGCTCTGCAATTCCACCAGGCGATGGCCACGCACTGAAGATGTCCGTGCTCAGGCTGAACAGCGTCAATGGGTTTCTGGAGGACTCCAGGATGGAGGCTGGGGATATGGGGAGGATCCTCAGGTGCTTGGAGATTGGCACCGTGCTGACCTTGTTCTACCAGAAAAAGTCACAGAGGCCGGAGCGCAGGACATTTCAGGTCAGGCTGGAGACCAGGCAGATCATCTGGAGCCGGACCCCGGAGAAGGTGGAAGGGGACAGTGAGTATATGAGCCGTGCTTTGCAAATCCAGAAAATAACTATCTGTAGGGAAGCCGGGCTTGGCAAGATCCCAGTGAACCCCCAGTCAAATGCAGTAGGACCTAGTGGGTTCAATCCTCCCTCTCCCCCTGGTATGGCTGTGCAGCTTGGGGCGCAGCTCTGTCGACTCCCCCGCCGCACAGAGGTGTTGTGGGGGCTCCATACGTAGCATTAACAAAGCTCCAAGCAGCACTATTTCAGTGCTCTGCCTTAGCGGTAATAATGGGGGGGTTGAATGGCAATGACCTTGCGTTTCCATCGCACCGGGGATGCGGAGGACATTGCCAGCTTCACCAATGGGACCCGCTGGATTTGCAGGGGTCGGTTTGCTAACTGCTAGTCAGCAACCGGCACTGAGCCGGAGCATGGGGGCTGCTTCATAGCTCGCTGCAGCACTGGGCAGCAGCCCGCGAGGATGGATGCAGCATTTGCCCAGGCGGGTGGATGCTGGGTCAGGGGAATGGGGTGCCTGGTGTTGGGGTTTGGCCTGGGTTGACGACCCTCCCAGACTGAGTGCAGGAGATCTGGGGCAGGCATGAGGGTATGTGATAGCATCCCGAAGAGGATGCCTCCAGAAGCAGTAGGCCTCCCAGCACTGGTTTATACTGGGTAGGAACATCACCTACTGAGTCAGCAGCAATCCTACGGCCAGCCTTGGCCTGGGTTTTCCCCTTGGAGGTCCCCAGTCAATCCTCTCTGACTGTCCGTGGTCAGCTTCTCCGCTGCGGGGTCTCAGCTCCTGCCATTATACCCACGACGTTCCCCGTGGTCCTCACGCCGTTATCACGCTTCTCGCAGCCAGTCACCGCCACAGTCCCTTTCTTTCCCTTGGCAGCTCCTTGCGCTCTCATTTATCTCTTCCTTTCTGATTGCACCAGGCATCGGGGCCGTTCTGGTGGCAGTCCTGCCAAAGGGAATGGAGTTCACAAGGGTGAATTTGTGGTGTTTTCCTGCGTTGCTCCTGTTGTGCCCTTTGCTTGCTGTAACCCACCCTTCCTGCCATCCAGCTTTCTCCTTGCTGGTCCCTTCCGCCCTCCCTTCCCTTTCATTCTCCGGGCTATTCAGTGTGGGGTGGGGGGATTCGGTCTCATCACTTATGCTACTCTGAAAAGCATGCCAATCTGTTTATCCATCTTGGTTGCTCAGGTCCTAATCTGTCAAAGGTTATTTCCCCTTTGTCATGTTCTAAATGGCTGATCCCATCCCCTTCTTTGTAACCACAGGCGGCCGCCTTGATCGTACGCAGGAAACCAGCATGAGTCGGGTGGAAAGAGTGCTCAGGCTCCCTGCAAAACCCGCGTGGGTAGCTCCGCGGTGGGTGCACCCCCTTTCGAGTGCATCCTTGCCCCGGGAGGTGACTATGCAAATGGCCCTTCTTACTCAGCAGTGCTGCTCCTCCTGCATTACGAGGGATGGAGCTGCTTGTTGTAGTGCCTAAACCAAAAGCAGCTTGTAGTCCTTTCTGCCCCATAGACGCATCTCAGCCCTGGGAGGAGATGGAGTCTGATGCAGTTTGTACCTCATCAACATGACACTGAATCCACTGCTATTGCCCAGGCCACCCGTGCGTGCATGTTGCTTTCCGAGCCTGCTCCGGATTATAGCGTGGAATTGCACAGGTGTGCAGAGAGAGTGAGTTTATTGAGTCATTATTACTGGCAGCAATGCACGGACCACAAAGAACCTGGCCGGACTCTCAGATCCAGGGTCGATGCTTATAGTAAAACCTATTTTGCTTTGCTTGTAAATAAATACAACCTGTTGTGGAGGCATTGAGAGAGGATGAATACAGATGGGTGCCTTTTCAGAGTAGTGCTGTCTGGTAGTGTAACTAGGGTGGGCGAATGGGACACCAGCTCCAGGCACAGATTTCAAGGGAAGCTGTAGGATGGCTGGTGTTGGGGGAAGCCCATGCTGCAGACAGGGTCTAGTAAAACTCGCCATTTCGTGGCGTGTATATAAGCAACGCGTAACGTGTACAAGTGGCCTCCAGTGCCTGGTGCACCCTGCCCCTGCCTGGGGTGCCGCAATTGCTAGCTATGCCCCGGCACTGCCTTTCAGCTGGATATTTGCAAAATGATGCAATGCTTCCCAGAGCGACAGCACTTTCCATCACCAGGCACTGCACAAGCCAGGCACAACAGGGGTGTCATATACATGGCTCGCAAAGCTGCAGTATCTGGCTCCTAGAGGGGCTGGGAGTTCAGGGGCACAGCATGAGTGGGGAACTGAAATTCAGGGTGCTGATCCCCATTGAGGACCTGCGCTGGCAGCAAGGGGTGAAAAGCAGTTGCATTAACACCCCTAGCTCCTTGACATGGCTTGCCCTACTGCATGAGATGGGTCCAGATCTGGTCTGTGAGGACCTCCACAATCTGGATCCAGCCCACAGACAGCCCCAAAGTCCAGATCCAGCCCAAGAGGCCAAACCAGTTTGACCTCCCTTCCATAGTTAAACACTGTGAAGCCAAGTTTGATATGGTTAAGCCCAGAGACATGGATATACAGACAGAATTTAGCCTTCACCTTTCAAAAGTGCCAGCCACTATGGGGTGCCGACCTTGACGGAGTGGACTCTTGGCTCCGTCATGGGCATTTAGTGGTTGATTTCAGTGAGGACAGGATTTGAGCCTGAGGGGTTTATATTCAGTGTTGCAGAGGACCAGAAATCCCACATAAAATTGCTGGGGGCTTCCAGTGCCTGGCCCTTCTAGAAAACAGGTCTGGCATGTCTGAGGTTGGGCTCTCAAAATAGAGGCCTGTGTGATTCACCTGGGAAGTCCGTGGCAGAGCTGGGAGTGGAAATCAGGAGCTTCTGGGAAGTAGAGTTTTTCTCTGACCATCCAACCACTTTGCCTGTCCAGGAAGCTCAAATGTTGCACTGAATTTCTGAATGCGGGTGAGGAAACCAGTGGGGATTTCAATAGTTTATAAACCCTTGGGAATGACAACTTCCTGCTGATTTTAGCCCACCCTTTTCTTCTTCCCCTCCAGGGAATTCTCTGTATTCTGGTTTGCTTATCCAAAAGGTCTTATATCTCATAGGGCGCATGTACATGTGCACTTCAATGTGCATTAGCCTATTTTAATGCGCATTAAAGCATCACTAAAAATGTGCTTTTTAGTTCATGTGTATGAAATTAGGCTAATGCGGAACAAAGTGTTACTAAAAACTGTCCTCCTTAGTTAATGCACATTTTCTTAATACCTCATAATGGAGGTACTAGATTTAATGTGCATTTAATGCACATGAACTAAAGTGCATTAATGCACATGTAATATGAACCATCACTATTATAGTTATGGTCTCGCTCAGGATCAGTCGCATTGTCCTGGGTGTTGTGTAAGCACAGCTGAAGAGACCATCTCTCCTGGAATTGATTTTGCTAGCTTTAATTTTGACCATTTCATTTGATATCACACAGTGTGTTAGCCTAATTCCTCCCGTTTTTCCAAGGGGGCAGGCAAAGGTTGTGCGGTGTTGCTAACCCGCCATCGTATACCACCCACCTGTTTCTTAGGTGTGTAAACTAATTCCCAGATGCTCTGCTTTTAAAGCAATTTGGGATCCTCCTATATAGGAGGTGGCACACACAAGACCAGCATCAGTGCATAGACGATAGGACCCACATTTTTCAGTACCTGTTTATGACGAGGCTTGTAGAAGTTCAAGGAGAAACCAACTCTCCGGCGTGTTTCTAAGTTGTCTCTGTTTCATTTCAGTATTAGTTGGCAAGATGATTGTTTTAGGGTCACATTATTTCTAACCTGTCTGGAGATGGTGCTGTGTGTATGGGAGGGGTGTATGTATACACAAGTATTTATATAGGTGTATGCCTAGGGACAGCCAAGGTGTCTGAGCGTGTGCTAGTGTGTGGATGCATTTCATTATGTACAGGCTGACACTGCATTTTGGAGTAGGTGTAAATTGATGCTGGATGGCTGCTTCTGAGTGCATAGCAATGACTCTGGGGATCTGTGGAAGAGGAAGGAAAGCATGGATTGGAGCAGAGACTGCTCTGGTCACTTTTGTCACCAGTATCATGACATTTAATATTTTTTCTTGACACTACAGCTCCTGCAATTGTGTACATGCTTTCACAACACTCTCTGGTTTCAGATTTTTCTTTTCTTTAGAAAGGGACGGTTTTAGCTATCCTGGTGAAGCAGAACCCCCATCAGCTCCAAAGCCGAGAGGCAAATTAATACAATCTGACATTTATTTGTTAAAATCCCAGGATTTAACAAACCTGACCCATCATGGTTAAATGGTTGTGGTTGGCAGTCCCAGTCTTGGGTATGTTTGCACAGATGGGACGGTGGAGTTTGGGATTAGCATAGGGGTGCAATGTGCAAGTGTGCAAGGGTGTTTGCTGGAGAGCTGGAGTGAATGCACTGATGCGTTTTGGATACATTAAGACTTAACATTTAGGTGGCAGGATGCAGCTTCAGAGCATCGTGCCAAATTAAACCCTAACCTTGGGAGAAACTGAGCTGGGTCTGTGCCAGTTCTTTGATTCCCGCAGTGATTTGGGAATTGCTCCACTCTCACTTTTGAACCTGCCGCACTCTTTCCCAATCAGTTAAGACTCCTGCTTCGTCCCTGAGATTTATTCTGGAGAAGGGTGCTCTCAGTGTGGCCGGAATGGATGCCCTGCCTGCCCAGCCGGGGGAGATGGATTTGCCATTGTGTCATAGCACTGAGCCAGGTTACAGGAACTAGCACCTGCTCCATTCGACTTGCTGTGGTATCGGTGCTTCACCTGCCTCTGGCACTGCCTTCCCCAGGCGGCCCAGAGCATGTCAGGACCAGTCCTTATGACCCTCTGGGGATGTGGTTTGGGATCTGATCCGCACTATACACTGACCATAAGAGACTTGCCCAGTGGATCAGTGTCAACATCAGGCTTGGCACACAGGTCATCCAGAGTCCCAGCCCTCCACTTCCATCACCATCTTG